CTCTCTCTCTCTCTCTCTCTCTTTCCCTCTCTTACTCCCTCCCTCCCTACCTTCCTCCCCCTCCTCCCCCTCTCTCTCTTTCTCTCGCTCTATCTCCCTATCTCTCGTATTTTGCCATGGTTATGCCCATGTCACGTTCTCATTCGCGGTTGTCATGTGCTACAGGCGTGTCGCACCGTCACCTCTCCGACCACCTCTCGGAGCTCGTCGAGACGACCTTGTCCGACCTTGAGCAGTCCAAGTGCATCAGCGTCGAGGACGAGATGGACGTGGCGCCGCTCAACCTGGGCATGATCGCCGCTTACTATTACATCAACTACACGACCATCGGTGCGTAGCGCGCGGCAATGCTGCTCCTGCAATATAGGGAGTATTTACAGCGGGCCATCCTTTGCTGTAAAGGGAGTGAGTAGCCCTAGGTAACGTCGGCGTCCCCTGCTGGCCAAGCCAAGTAGGATGACTATCGAGTGCTGGTGTGGTATAATTACACTTGCACAGTCAGTAAAGGTTGATATTTAGATTGAGATTATATTTCGATTAATATTTTGGTATTATATTGGTATTTATATCAGAGCTGTTCAGCATGTCGCTGAATGCGAAGACAAAGATCAAGGGTCTGATCGAGATCATCTCCTCCGCGGCAGAGTACGAGAACATTCCCATCAGACACAACGAGGACACCATCCTCAAACAGGTAGGAACACACACAGCAGTGACAGTTGTGTGAGTGATTACAGGTATTTCATGTAATGGTGAGAGATAGGACACGTAGTGGGGACAGTTAGGACACGTAATGGTGACAGTTAGGACACGTAACGGTGACAGTTGTGCCATGTAAAGCACAACAAGTATTTCATGTAATGGTGACAGTTAGGACACGTAATGGTGACAGTTAGGACATGTAATCGTGACAGTTGCGCCATGTAAAGCACAACAAGTATTTCATGTAATGGTGACAGTTAGGACACGTAACCGTAACGGTGACAGTTGTGCCATGTAAAGCACAACAAGTATTTCATGTAATGGTGACAGTTAGGACACGTAACGGTGACAGTTGTGCCATGTAAATCATAACAGTTATTTCATATAATGGTGACAGTTAGGACACGTAACGGTGACAGATGTGCCATGTAAATCATAACAGTTATTTCATATAATGGTGACAGTTAGGACACGTAACGGTGACAGTTGTGCCATGTAAATCATAGCAGTTATTTCATATAATGGTGACAGATAGGTCACATAACAGTGGCAAGAATGTCATGTGATGATGATAGTTAAATCACTTAATGATGAGAGATGGGTCACGTAATGATGACAGATAGGTAACTTACTGGTGACAGGTATGGCTTGCGATGATGATAGTAAAGTCACTTAATGATGACAGATAGGTCATGTAATGATGACAGATAGGTCACGTAATGATGACAGATAGGTCACGTAATTATGACAGATAGGTCACGTAATGATGAGAGATAGGTCACGTAATGGTAACAGATAGGTCACGTAATGATGACAGATAGGTCACGTAATGATGAGTGATAGGTCACGTAATTATGAGAGATAGGTCACGTAATGATGAGAGATAGGTTACCTAATGATGAGTGATAGGTCACGTAATTATGAGAGATAGGTCACGTAATGATGAGTGATAGGTCACGTAATGATGAGAGATAGGTCATGTAATGATGAGAGATAGGTCACGTAATGATGAGAGATAGGTCACGTAATGATGAGTTATAGGTCACGTAATTATGAGAGATAGGTCACGTAATGATGAGTGATAGGTCACGTAATGATGAGAGATAGGTCACGTAATGATGAGAGATAGGTCACGTAATGGTGACAGATAGGTCACTTAATGATGAGAGATAGGTCACGTAATGATGCCAGGTATATGTAATCATAACAGATGTGTAACATGATATTGGCAGTTGTGTTGTGTCACAATGGTACCTTTGTCAACCAGTAGGTCTTGTAATGATAACAGTTAGTTCATGTTATCATAACAGATGTGACGTCATATGAGGTATGGGAGCAGATATAATATTGACAGTTTGGATCATGTGATAAGAATACTATCTCAGACAGATAATGTTGAATATGTAACATTAACAGTTGTATCATGTAGTAACGGCACTATTTCTGACAGGGATGTTTATTATGTATCGGTGACAATTATATCTCATGATAAGGACACCTTGCTCAGCCAGATGTGTTATGTAATGGTAACAGTGTCATATGACAACCATTCGTAGATGTCTTATAATGATGATATCAGGTCACCAGATCATTGGTATGTCATTCCACAAGGATACCATTATCGAACAGGTATATATTGTGAGTACAATGACACCATACACGGGTGTTTTCTGCAAACGAAGCGACCAAAGTATATTGCATGAACAAGAGCAGAATGATTATGGCTTCATTCACTCGTAATCGTGCATGGTTTAAGCTGGCACTGTCACACGATCAACGTTTTTACTCGCAGCTGGCCACCAGACTGCCCAACAAGCTGACAACGCCAAAGTTCACCGACCCACACGTGAAGAGCAACCTGCTCTATCAGGCACACATGTCACGCATGCAGCTGTCTGCGGAACTACAGAGTGACACGGAGGAGATCCTGAGCAAGGTATGTAGTTGACGGTTACCCATATATATATACATATATATATATATATGTGTGCATGTAGAGAGAGAGCGAGAGAGAGAGAGGAAGAGAGAAGGTGAGAGTGAGTGTGAGAGAGTGTGTGTGTGTGCGTGCGTGCGTGCGTGCGTGCGTGCGTGCGTGGGTGCGTGCGTGCGTGCGTGCGTGCGTGCGTGCGTGTGTGTGTTCGAGTTGCTAAACTCCTGGTGTATTAACGACATGGCATAATGTATGAATGCAATGCGTAGAACCACGTCAGACACATATAAATTAAATATAGGTTCTCTAACCAAGTCTCTGACTTCTTTAACCTTTAGTGAATTGATTCAAAAAACGACATTTCCTAACCTGCTACATTTGTTTTTGTAATCCAACAACTACCGGAATACACACACATGCACACACATGACAGTGTCTGCAGTCGCAGAGTTGTTTCCTCAGTTTAATAACCCTACGACTGTGGATCTACTGTCATGAGACGTTGCTGCAGGGTTCGAAATTAGGCAGGCGACACAGCTAAATGCGGCTTAATTTTTAATAATAGCTACCTCAAAATCCCCGTCTTTTTCATCGTAAATCCATTATTTTCTGCTTCTCAAGCGTACGTCTGCATTATAGACGCATTCTGTGTAAGAGCAGTTTGTTTTCATACTGTTTGCTTGTTTAACTTAAATATGCACCTTCACTGATTCATTTAGCACCCAATTTTAGGGTTCATGCATTTCTTGCACCTTCCTTAAAAACTTGGTCGTGAGCCCACATAATGCTTGGTTTACTGTTTTATGTGCGGGTGCAGGCGGTGAGGCTAATCCAGGCCTGCGTAGACGTACTCTCTAGTAATGGCTGGCTGTCACCGGCCCTCGCAGCCATGGAGCTGGCACAGATGACCACACAAGCAATGTGGAGTCGCGACTCATACCTTAAACAGTTGCCGCATTTTGGACCAGAACTAATCAAGAAATGCACAGAAAAGGTATGGTTTCCGTGTATTGCCTCTTTTGTATGGTGTGTGTGGAGTCTTTTTAGGTTGAAATATGTAGTTGAATGCCCTAACATACCAACTGTGATTGAGGGACAGGCTTCTAACAACTTTTAAACGTTTAAACTTTAACTGATGCCTTACATTTCATACCTTTTAGTGATCTGTAGAAGTAGCTGAGTAGTAGCAGGTAGGTAAATGTTCAAAAACCCTGCCTAACCAATGTTTGACCTCAAATATTGGGAAAAGAGGTCTGGACAAGTACTGCATTGTTTAGTTCCACTGGTTTAGCTGCCAGTGCTTCCTCAATTCTAAGTCTCTTCCTATGTTTAAAAGTGTCAAGGTGCATTAATGAAGACCTTTTTCGCAGTTAACTTAGCGGCGACATGTAAGCGATTTGCTGTGTAACGACAAACAGATTCCCAGATTTATTTTATCCTCGGCTCTAACGCTAAGCCCGCGGCTACAGTACTGACCAATGCGTGGTGTACGCTACAGTACTGACCAATGCGTGGTGTACGCTACAGTACTGACCAATGCGTGGTGTACGCTACAGGGCATCGAGACCGTATTCGATGTCATGGAGATGGAGGACGAAGACCGGAATCAGCTGCTGAAGCTGACTGATGCGCAGATGGCCGACGTCGCGCGCTTCTGCAACCGCTACCCGAACATCGAGATGACCTACGAGGTCGTCGACAAGGAGGGCATCAGCGGGTAGGTGGCGCCACGGTTAGCAACGGAAATGTGTGCGGCAGTCTCGTGGATGAGCGGGGAGTGACGTCACGCGCTGCAGCACTAGAGGCTGTGCCGTAAATGAAAACCGGGGATAGTCGGGGCAGGTCATTGTTAGCCAACTGAACAAGTGTGCGCTTATGATGCTGATCGTTGATGAAACGATGCTGTTATTTCGATTTGATAATTTTGTTCGGATGTCTGACTGTAAGTGGCACTACAATTACAAACTGTTCAACGTAAGTAATGTAATCTCGTTGTCTTGTATTTCAGTGGCAGCACGGTGAATGTGACAGTGACGTTGGAGCGAGAAGATGAGGTAGTCGGACCGGTCATTGCACCGTTCTTTCCACAGGTGAGGTTCTGCTACTCTCTGAATGGCATGGAAGCCACCATAAAATTATTATATGTAGTTTTGTTAGTAGAAAACGTGGTGTCCATTCCGCGTGAGGTTAGATACACATGCCTTTATGCACACGTATTTAATTACTGCTATTTATTTTAATATTATTATAGTATTTACGTGTTTTATATTTAAATGTGTAGTGTCTATATAGTGCGTGCTGATTTAGTGCGAGTGGAAAACTCAGATTTGCTTTCATTTTTGTGCGACCCACAGAAGCGAGAAGAGGGCTGGTGGGTCGTGATTGGCGACCCCAAGTCCAACTCGCTCATCTCCATCAAGCGGCTGACCTTGCAGCAGAAGGCTAAGGTCAAGCTCGACTTTGTCGCTCCATCGGAGGGCGCACACTCGTACACGCTGTACTTCATGAGCGATGCGTACCTCGGCTGCGACCAGGAGTACCGGTTCACCATCGATGTGCGCAAGAACGCCGACAGCGACATGAGTGGCAGCGAAAGTGACTAGTGATGCCGCCTTACTCACTGCGCGCTAGGTGGTGGCATGCATTGATTCACTGGTACCGCGACCAGGAGACTGAATTTATTGAATTCATGTTAGGCACCATTGCAGTATGCATTTATGTCATTGGCATATAAACTAGTGTATAAACTCACGTTCATACAACTGTCCCTTGACACGTTGAATCGACGTTTGTGTGGCATCTTGTTCGTATATAAACGAGTATGTTGCGTGCAAAACTGTTGATGGCTTGTGCCATTGGTCTGTATAGTGACCGTCTAAATTTGTGTGTGGAGTAGAGTGACTGCTGGTGTGAACTTTTCTTATATGACCATTGATTGTGTGTGACCTTGGAGACGTGATTTGTCTTCGATAATTAGTGGTATATGTTGTAAAATCTTATATGTCAACTGGATATTATTAGCACTGGGATAGTGATAGGTAGTGAAGCCGTGATAGCTGACCAACATAATACAATAAAAAAACATGAAGACTGTCAATATTGCAAATTTTTCCATAATGCTATTGAGTTATATGGCCCAAAAAATTCTTATGGGATATGTATATATATATATACATACATACATACATGCACACATTCACGTACGTTGTTAACTAGCTAGTTCTAATTGTAAATAGTCTGAGGTTAGATGATTTGTAGTGCTGAATCACTCTGTGTTTAGCCGCCTGTGCACAAGGTTTTTATCCATCCGCTTTTGAGTAGTTGAAATCGAGAATAAGATTTCACATATGGACCACTTATAGTGCTGAGAGGGCACACAAGTGAAGGATTTCATGGCATACGTAAAGATGTGGATTGTTGTGACAAGCAGGCACCGGCCCTACAGTAGCACCCGGCACTGCAGTAACATCATGAACATCTCAAAAACATAATCTAACTATCATATACTGGCAATAGAATTGTACACGTCGGTGTCACCGGCCGAGTTGGAAATAATGTTATCATTTCTTTGTGAAGCCGATAAACGATGATGTCTTCACTATACTTCCACTATATTGGATTTATTTTTCAATTTAACGCATGTGATTATATACATGTAAGATGATAGGTTTGTGATCATCAAGGTTAATTAAAGTTCATTTTCCCACCTATATGCTATATTGTCTTTGTGTTCAACTTTTGTGGCGTTTGTTACTTTTGACTTTTACTGGTTATTTGGTTTTGCTGACCATTGACATGGCTTTTTACTGGTTTTGACTTTGGGCGGTAGAGCAGAGGCATATCGTGTACAGAGAAAGGTACAGACATTATCGGGATAAATCTGGGTGAGCAAATGAGAACCATCTTTATACTTGCACATCTATGTTTGTATAATATGCAGTTGCTATCTGAGAATAAATATTTGCTCATGTTCGCCTGAACAATCCATAGAGGAAATCGCTAACTTGCGGTTTATCGCTTGGCACCACCACAGACTAACGAATACACAGACTGGCCACTTCCCATACCTTGGGCATAAAATTGGCATCATGTAACAATTAGCCATTGTCAAAGTAGAGATTGGACAGGGCAGGAGTAAGCGGAAGCCCGTTATAGCACCCACTGTGGTCGGTATAAACTGTATATAACGTACGACCGTAACCATAACCATAATTATAACCATGACCACAACCATAGTCATTACCGTAACCCTAACCGTAACAGTTGGGATATGAATGCAAATATCATTAGCAATTAACATTCTAGTACAGAGAGATGCTCACGCACACACACAAACTCACAGACAAACGTACAAATATACACAGAGAGGCGGACAGACACACAGATAGAGACATACAGACAGAGCGACACAAACATAGAGACATACAGAGAGCGACACAAACATAGAGACATACAGAGAGCGACACAAACATAGAGACATACAGAGAGCGACACAGACAGACAGGCACACGCACAGACTTACGGACAGCCGTGCACACATACGGACAGACGTACGCACATACGGACAGACGTACGCACATACGGACAGTCCGGCGTGCGCACATACGGACAGACGTGCGCACATGCGGACAGACGTACGCACATGCGGACAGACGTACGCACATGCGGACAGACGTGCGCACATGCGGACAGACGTACGCACATACGGACAGACGTACGCACATACGAACAGACGTACGCACATACGGACAGACGTACGCACATACAGACAGACGTGCGCACATACGGACAGACGTACGCACATACGTACATACAGGCAGACAGACCCGAACACACGCACACGCAGACACGCACGCAGACACACAAGCACACACACGCACGCGCGCGCGCGCGCGTATGCATAAAGACGCATATACACACATACGAACAGACATACGTACAGACAGGCAGACAGACGCGAACTCACGCACACACACAGACAGACACACACACACGCACGCGCGCGCGTGTACACAGACAGACGCACACACACGTGTACACAAACAGACACACACACGTGTACACAGTCAGACACACACACGTACACACAGACACAGACAGACACACGTGTACACAGACAGACACATACACACACGTGTACACAGACAGACACATACACACGTGTACACAGACAGACACATACACACGTGTACACAGCCAGACACGCACATACGAACAGACGTACGCACATACGGACAGACGTACGCACATACGGACAGACGTACGCACATACGTACAGACAGGCAGACAGACCCGAACACACGCACACGCAGACACGCACGCAGACACACAAGCGCACACACGCACACACGCACGCACGCGCGCGCACGTATGCATAAAGAGATGCATATACACACATACGAACAGACAGGCAGCCAGACGCGAACACACGCACACACACACACACACACACACACACACACACACACGCGCGCGCGCGCGCGCGTGTACACACACATACACACGTGTACACAAACAGACACACACACACAGACACACAGACGTGTACACAGACACACACACACGTGTACACAGACACACACACACATGTACATAGACAGACACACACACGTACACACAGACACAGACAGACACACGTGTACACAGACAGACACATACACACGTGTACACAGACAGACCCACACGTGTACACAGCCAGACACACACACAGACACACACACACACTCTCACACACACACACACACACATGCATTTGGTTTGTGATTACATTACCTCCTTGGCGGAGGTAACAAACGCCTAGACGCGCA